TGTCATATGGGCATGACCGTGGCAGTTGTCAGCGTCTACAAATGGTGGACAGGAAGGGGGGTAGAGCGCAGCTGAAAATTCTGGACTGTATTAAAAGGTCCGAGAGGCACTGGGGTTAATCTACATTTTTGGAATGCATTTACAAATATGTGTAAAACAATATGTTAAAAAGATCACTTTTTATTGGTGTCACTGGGGATTTCAGTGAAGCATTATCTAAAAAATGGCGGTATAGCATTGAAAAAAATATTTTTCATATATTCTGTGGCATATAAAAACGCATTACAAATACGGTATATATTATATTGAAATATATTTTTAAATATATTGAATACGTCTAAAATGGTTGTATTTCAAATATATGCCAATAGGAATTTGTGCAAAAATATTTTTAAAATATATTTGACATATATTATTCTTCCATGTGGGATGGGAGAGAATAACGGAGCCAAAAGACGGATGACAATGTTAAAAATATCTGAAGAATATTTTTATATATTTAAAAAAAATATTTTTCATATATTCTGTAATATAAAAAAAAGCATTTGCAACATAGGCATGTTCTGACATAGCATTTTCAACATGGACGCCCCATACCCCCAGTATAGTTTCTATGCTATTATGGTTATAGAATTTCAACATACAGTGTATATATATTGTTATATTCATATTTATAGAAAAAAATTTTTTTTTTTTTTTTTTTTTCTTTTATATATGAATACGGCCAAAATTGTTGTATTCAAATATATGCAATATATTTGTGAAAATATTTTTAAAATATATTTGACATATATTTTTCTTCCATGTGGGATGGGATAGAATCTATAACGGAGCCAAAAGACAGGATGACAATGTTTAAAAAATCTGAAGAATATATTTAAAAAAATATATATTTAAAAAAAATCTTTTTCATATATTCTGTAATATAAAAAAACGCATTTCAACATACAGCATATGTATTTTTCATATATTCTATATATATATATATATAAATATATGCAGTATAGCATTTCAACATACAGTATATATATATATATATATATATTTTTTTTATTTATATATTTATTTTTTTCTTTTATATATTGAATACAGCCAAAATTGTTGTATTTCAAATATATGCCAATATATTTGTGAAGAATATTTTTAAAATACATTTGACATATATTTTTCTTCCATGTGGGATGGGAGAGAATAACAGAGCCAAAAGACAGGATGACAATGTTAAAAAAATCTGAAGAATATATTTAAAAAAATATATATTTAAAAAAAATATTTTTCATATATTCTGTAATATAAAAAAACGCATTTCAACATACAGTATATATGTATATATATATATTTAAAATATATTTTTATATATATATATAAATATATATATATATATATATTTATACAGTATATATATAATAAAATATTTTTTATTTAATAAATATAAAAACGGCCACAATTGTTGTATTTCAAATATACATATGTAAATATATTTGTGAAGAATATTTTTTAAATATATTTCAAATATATTTTTCTTCCATGTGGGATGGGAGAGAATAACGGAGCCAAAAGACAGGATGACAATGTTAAAAAAATCTGAAGAATATATTTAAAAAAAATATATATTTTAAAAAAATATTTTTCATATATTCTGTAATATATAAAAACGCATTTCAACATACAGTATATATGTATATATATATTTAAAAATATTTTTTATATATATATATATATATATATATATATATATTTATATATAAAAAATATTTTTAAATATATTAAAAACGGCCACATTTGTTGTATTTCAAATATACATATGTAAATATATTTGGGAAGAATATTTTTTAAATATATTTCAAATATATTTTTCTTCCATGTGGGATGGGAGAAAATAACGGAGCCAAAAGACGGGATGACAGTTTCTAGGGAATGCTATTGTTGGTGAAAGACATTCATCATCATACCATTGTTGTTACTCAGCCTTAGCGTACCCATACACTCCGCGACTCCGGAGAGCATCAGACCTCATCCATCAAAGTCTCTGAAACAAGGCTTGTTATACCAAGGAGCACATCCAGGCTGGGGCCGCCTCTGGTGGCCTACATGCACCATGCTTGGGGTCATCTGGAGAAGCAGTTGGATGACCGGAGACCCCCGTGCCATCACCTTCATACCTTGCACTCCATGTCTATATTAAAGTAATGCCACACTGAGCCTCTAATGCCATTTGTTGTACATAGAGTCGGGAATAGTATGTTTTTTTTTCCCTAAATGCGACCCGTCGAGGAAATTTCCCTTTACTTCGGTCTTTAAAGACACAACCGGCAGTAAATGGGAAACAGGCCGAAAAGAAATCGGGCTCAGAGAACTAGAGAAGCTGCTGGCACCCCAATCGATACAAATTGTTCCCAATAAAGTGGTGCAACAATTCCACGAATAATCATCACCAAAAGCAAATCATATAAGCAGGAGCAGACTGACCATTTGAGCACTCGGGCACAGCTCGAGGGCCCGGGGTCAGTAGGGGGCCCCATGAAATGCCCTGGTACCTTTTATAGGCTTTTTTTGGGTGTGCTTTGAGTGTGGACAAGGACACAGGGGCCCCATGATCCTCTATTGCCTGGGGGCGCCATTATTGGTCAGTCCGCCCCTGCATTTAAGTGATTCCAAAAGTAAAAAAAGATCCCAAAGTGACAAAAAAGTGAAAATCTTCATCCACAGATTGCATTAATTCTTCTCCACCTCAGTGATCCACCACCACCATCAACACGCCTAAGCCCTGAGACACAGGTGGACATTACATGAGAAGCAATTATACATTTTTAAATTTGTGAGTAATTAGTACATTTCAATACATTTTATTTTGCGGTTTTACCCCATGTGGTTCCTTTGGCTCTTTTCATATGGCGCGGTTTTGGGAGTTGAAGGAGGATGCTTTGCTAATGGAGTAGCTGGACCAAGAGGGGGGGTCATACTACCAGATGTGGGACCTTACAGGCACAGATGTGCTTATGACACTTTTCATTCAGATAGTCAACCCATATGTAATAAAAAAATATTTGAAATATATTTTAAAAATATTCTTACAAAATATACTGACATATATATTTTAAATACTACAATTTTGGGGCAGTTTTCAATATATATATATATATATATATATATATATATATATATATATATATATTTCCTGTGGCTATATCAGGAAAGGCAAGAAAGTCTGAACTGAAAGAACCGATAGCTACCCCAGGTCAGCTCGCTGAAGACAGCAGAAACAAGGAAAAGATGAGAGGTTGTCATAGAAAACTTGCTTGATATCCTCTGATACACAAATTGGCCAAAGTATGTATAAAGTGTTACGTTCGGACAACTGCGCTGATTTCTGAGGTCACCTAAATCTGTGTGTCACGTCTTATAACGTGGGGTGGAGGCGTACCCCCGCCATCTCTAGGACTTGCCATTGCTTGACATAAAGGGTGTTCATTATCCACCCGGAGTGGAGAATTGGATCTCGTCAATCTGGCCTTCGGATTTTTTGCACTAGTTTCTCCGTAGAGACCCAAAGAACATTTCCAATTATATCCACGTTGTTAGTCTCTGTGTTTCTTACAGACACTTTCCAGTCCGAACACTTTCCCCCCCTTCCACTTTCACCCCCTTCCAGTCGGACACTTTCCCCCCCTTTTCCCCCCTTTCAGTCCAGACACTTTCCCCCCTTCCAGTCCTGACACTTTCCCCCCCTTCCAGTCCGGACACTTTCCCCCCCTTCCAGTCCGGACACTTTCCCCCCCTTCCAGTCCGGATACTTTCCCCCCCCTTCCAGTCCGGACACTTTCCCCCCCTTCCAGTCCGGATACTTTCCACCCCCCCTTCCAGTCCGGACACTTTTCCCCCCCTTCCAGTCCGGACACTTTTCCCCCCTTTCAGTCCGGCACACTTTCCCCCCCTTCCAGTCTGGACACTTTCACCCCCCTTCCAGTCCGGACACTTTTCCCCCCCTTCCAGTCCGGACACTTTCCCCCCCCCTTCCAGTCCGGATACTTTCCCCCCCCCTTCCAGTCCGGACACTTTTCCCCCCCTTCCAGTCTGGACACTTTCCCCCCTTCCAGTCCGGATACTTTCCCCCCCCTTCCAGTCCGGACACTTTCCCCCCCTTCCAGTCCGGATACTTTCCACCCCCCCTTCCAGTCCGGACACTTTCCCCCCCTTCCAGTCCGGACACTTTTCCCCCCTTTCAGTCCGGACACTTTCCCCCCCTTCCAGTCTGGACGCTTTCACCCCCTTCCTGTCCGGACACTTTCCCCCCCTTCCAGTCCGGACACTTTCCCCCCCTTCCAGTCCGGATACTTTCCACCCCCCCCCTTCCAGTCCAGACACTTTCCCCCCCTTCCAGTCCGGACACTTTCCCCCCCTTCCAGTCCGGACACTTTTCCCCCCTTCCAGTCCGGACACTTTCCCCCCTTCCAGTCAGTCCAGGACACTTTCACCCCCTTCCAGTCCGGACACTTTCCCCCCCTTCCAGTCAGGACACTTTCACCCCTTTCCAGTCCGGACACTTTCACCCCCTTCCAGTCCGGACACTTTCACCCCCTTCCAGTCCGGACACTTTCCCTTGGCCCTTCAGTGATCACATGAATAGGTGTAAGCAAGATGTCACTTCTGACATCATTGCTTAGTACGTGTGAAAACTGTGAATGATCACAGAGATCACAGTGGTACAGGGCTATTCACAACAGCCTTGTACCATGTGACAAGCTGTGACCAATCACAGGTCACACAGTATTTTCAATGGCTGCAAGAATGCCCCAGAGAGAAGGAGAAATTATTGCTTTTACAGTCCTTTATGGATGTAAAAGCAATCAGTGTGAAAAAAACATTTTCAGACACTTTCACCCCCACAAGTAGTACACTTTGTCGCTATCCAGTGACCGGGCAACTTTGTCATTCAAAGTGCGACAATGCTGAAAGCAGAAAATTGGCCTGGACTGGAAGGGGGTGAAAGTGATCCGGACTGGAAGAGGGGGTAAGATGTCCAGACTGGAAGGGGGGGAAAGTGTTAGGACTGGAAAACTGGGAAAGTGTCCGGACTGGAAAGGGGTGAAAGTGTCCCGGACTGGAAGGCAGGGAAAGTGTCCGGACTGGAAAGGGGGTGAAAGTGTCCGGACTGGAAAGGGGTGAAAGTGTCCGGATTGGAAGGGGGGGGAAAGTGTCCAGACTGGAAGGGGGGGGAAGTGTCCGGACTGGAAGGGGGGAAAGTGTCCGGACTGGAAGGGGAAAAGTGTCCGGACTGGAAGGGGGGGAAAGTGTCCGGACTGTGAAAAGGGGGGGAAAGTGTCCGGACCTGGAAAGGAGTGAAAGTGTCCGCTACTGGAAGGGGGTGAAAGTGTCCGACTGGAAAGGGGGGGAAAGTGTCCGGACTGAAAGGGGTGAAAGTGTCCGGACTGGAAGGGGAGGAAAGTGTCCAGACTGGAAGGGGGTGAAAGTGTCCGGACTGGAAGGGGGGGGAAGGGACTGGAAGGGGGGGAAAGTGTCCGGACTGGAAGGGGGGAAAGTGTCCGGACTGGAAAGGGGGGGAAAGTGTCCGGACTGGAAGGGGGGAGAAAGTGTCCGGACTGGAAGGGGGTGAAAGTGTCTGGACTGGAAGGGGGGAGAAAGTGTCCGGACTGGATAGGGGAGAAAGTGTCCGGACTGGAAAGGGGTGAAAGTTTCCGGATTGGAAGGGGGGGAAAGTGTCCGGACTGGAAGGGGGGGTGAAAGTGTCCGGACTGGAAGGGGGGAAAGTGTCCGGACTGGAAGGGGGTGAAAGTGTCCGGACTGGAAAGGGGTGAAAGTGTCCGGATTGGAAGGGGGGGAAAGTGTCCAGACTGGAAGGGGGGGAAAGTGTCCGGACTGGAAGGGGGGGGAAGTGTCCGGACTGGAAGGGGGGGAAAGTGTCCGGACTGGAAGGGGGGGGGAAAGTGTCCGGACTGGAAGGGGGGAAAGTGTCCGGACTGGAAGGGGGGGAAAGTGTCCGGACTGGAAAGGGGTGAAAGTGTCCGGACTGGAAGGGGGGGGGGAAAGTGTCCAGACTGGAAGGGGGGGGGGGAAAGTGTCCGGACTGGAAGGGGGGGGGAAAGTGTCCGGACTGGAAGGGGGGAAAGTGTCCGGACTGGAAGGGGGGGAAAGTGTCCGGACTGGAAGGGGGGAAAGTGTCCGGACTGGAAGGGGGGGAAAGTGTCCGGACTGGAAGGAGGTGAAAGTGTCCGGACTGGAAGGGGGGGTGAAAGTGTCCGGACTGGAAGGGGGGGAAAGTGTCCGGACTGGAAAGGGGGGTGAAAGTGTCCGGATTGGAAGGGGGGAAAGTGTCCAGACTGGAAGGGGGGTGAAAGTGTCCGGACTGGAAGGGGGTGAAAGTGTCCGGACTGGAAGGGGGGGGGAAAGTGTCCGGACTGGAAGGGGGAGAAAGTGTCCGGACTGGAAGGGGGGGAGAAAGTGTCCGGACTGGAAGGGGGAGAAAGTGTCCGGACTGGAAAGGGGTGAAAGTTTCCGGACTGGAGGGGGGGAAAGTGTCCAGACTGGAAGGGGGGGAAAGTGTCCGGACTGGAAGGGGGGAAAGTGTCCGGACTGGAAGGGGGGGGGAAAGTGTCCGGACTGGAAGGAGGGGAAAGTGTCCGGACTGGAGGGGGGGGGTGAAAGTGTCCGGACTGGAAGGGGGGGGGAAGTGTCCGGACTGGAAGGGGGAAAGTGTCCGGACTGGAAGGGGTTGAAAGTGTCCGGACTGGAAGGGGGGGGGGAAAGTGTCCGGACTGGAAGGGGGTGAAATTGTCCGGACTGGAAGGGGGGGGGAAAGTGTCCGGACTGGAAGGGAACACATGATTGGGACCTCACACAGAAATCCCATACAATGATCGGTGTTCAGCTGTGCCCGGAGGACACAGCGGGCACCAGATCGCGGTGCAACGCGCTCCCAGGAAGCACGCACAATCCAAAATGGCGGGTGCCATTTATGAATGGCAACCCGCCCCTGGACTGCCACCGTCCGGCCGTTTATATACAGCTTTATCCCCAACCCACCCCAACACACCCCTGTTCAATCTCATCTTAGCCTCTCTTTCCCCTCCTATTAATCTAGTCGTATATATAGATCTCTTTAACCATTTAAATTCTCTGGTACTATCAGGGGGACCTTTTCATTTTTAAGTATTTTTCTGAAGTTCTAAACTCATACCCTTTACCCCAAATCTTTCCTTTTCCATTTCATCTTTCTCCACGTAACAAAGTTCCTCCACCCTACTAACATATTCTACTCTGTCTATCCAATCCCTCATTGTTGGTGGATCCTGGACTTTCCAAAACCTAGGAATTAAACCCTTTGCCGCACCAATCAGATGATATAATAAACTGTTTTTATATTGTATTACCGACAACTCTGTTCTACAAAAAAGACATACCCATGGATCCTCCTGGATAGATGTCCCCCAAATCTCTAGTATATGATAAATTATCTCCTGCCAATATATCTGAATTTTTGGGCATTCCCACCATATATGAGCCATTGTCCCTATTGCCCCACATCCTCTCCAACATAAAGGTGATACTTCTCTCTGTCTATGTGCCACACTCGGTGTGCAATAAAAAAGTGTTACGTTCGGACAACTGTGCTGATTTCTGAGGTCACCTAAATCTGTGTGTCACGTCTTATAACGTGGGGTGGAGGCGTATCCCCACCATCTCTAGGACTTGCCATTGCTTGACATAAAGGTGTGTTCATTATCCACCCGGAGTGGAGAATTGGATCTCGTCAATCTGGCCTTCGGATTTTTTGCACTAGTTTCTGCCGTAGAGACCCAAAGAACATTGAAGTGTTCCAATTATATCCACGTTGTTAGTCTCTCTGTTTCATTCTTACAAGGAGAATAGACCTGGGAAAGGATTTATGTTGCCTTTGTCTTGAGTCACACAAGTCCTGTGGGAGCCTGTTTGATGATGTCGGGGACAACGTAGCGTGTCACAGAGGACTAGTTAAGCGTTGCCCTCTATAAAGATGTCTAGAAGTACAACTGGAAAACAGACGCTAATGGTTTGCTGGCGATATGAGTCTGCAACGCTTTCCTGTGTTGTTAAAGCTGGTTTCACCTTTTTTTTCTCCTTAAAGGAATTCTCCACCATGCAGCAGGTTCCACTGGAAGAGGTTCAAGTTGTTACCTGGTATCTGCCATCTCAGTCACGGGTGTTGGTCAGGCTTGATGGCTTTCCTGTGTTGTTAAAGCTGGTTTCACCTTTTTTTTTCTTCCTTAAAGGAATTCTCCACCATGCAGCAGGTTCCACTGGAAGAGGTTCAAGTTTTTACCTGGTATCTGCCATCTCAGTCACCCATCAGGGTGTTGGTCAGGCTTGATGGCTTTCCTGTGTTGTTAAAGCTGGTATCAACTTTTTTTCCTTAAAGGAATTTCCACCATGCAGCAGGTTCCACTGGAAGAGGTTCAAGTTGTTACCTGCTTTCTGCCATCTCAGTCACGTGTGTTGGTCAGGCTTGATGGCTTTCCTGTGTTGTTAAAGCTGGTTTCACCTTTTTTTTTTCTCCTTAAAGGAATTCTCCACCATGCAGCAGGTTCCACTGGAAGAGGTTCAAGTTGTTACCTGCTTTCTGCCATCTCAGTCACGGGTGTTGGTCAGGCTTGATGGCTTTCCTGTGTTGTTAAAGCTGGTTTCAACTTTTTGTTTCTTCCTTAAAGGAATTCTCCACCATGCAGCAGGTTCCATTGGAAGAGGTTCAAGTTGTTACCTGATATCTGCCATCTCAGTCACCCGTCAGGGTGTTGGTCAGGCTTGATGGCTTAACATCGGCAGCTCTACCTTCATCATTAACATACATATACGCCACTCACTGGCCACATCATATTGTTAATCCAGGGAATATCCAATCGCCTCAGGGATCAGGAAGGAATTTATACCCTGTTGGAGCACACTGGATCGTGCTTTATATGGGTTTTACTTTTGCCTTCCTCTGGATTACCTGTGAGTAGAGAGGTTCTGTCTATGGAGGTTTTCTATTTATTTTATTTTTTTTCTCTATTCGATTAGCCTGATGCCCTTTTTCACCTCACTATGTAACAATGTACCTCTGCATAGAGGAGGAGTTCTACAGTCCTCAGAGAGAGCTGGGAGCAATGTGACTGATAAAAGTGTAGCTCAGGCAGAGAGCAGTGGAAGTTGTCAGTTCAGAGGATCAACAGGGATTCTCTGCACTTATTGTACTTATATAACGAAACACATTTATTGTTAAGTTTTATGTACTCTACACTCATCATCCCCTGCAACTCCTAAAAAAACTACTACAGATGGTGAGTCATAAATTTTGAGTCTTGGTTCCACCACCTCCCCTCACTTCATGTGTCTGGAATTTTGAGTTTTGGTTCCACCACCTCCTCTTACCTTTATATGTCTTGAATTTTGAATCTTGTTTTCACCACCTCCCCTTACTTTGTGAGTCCTGAATTTTGAGTCTTGGTTCCAACATCTCCCCTTACCTTTGTATGTTTTGAATTTTGAGCCCTGGTTCCACCACCTTCCCTTACTTTATGAGTCTTGAATTTTGAGTCTTGGTTACACTACCTCCCCTTACTTCGTGAGTCTTGAATTTTGAGTCTTGGTTCTACCATCTTCCCTTACTTTGTGAGTCTTGAATTTTGAATCTTGGTTCCACCACCTCCCCTTACTTCCCGAGTCTTAAATTTTGAGTCTTATCTCCACCACTTCCCTTACTTCATGAGTCTTGAATTGTGAGTCTTGGTTCCACTCCCCCCCCCCCCCCCTTACTTTGTGAGTCTTGAATTTTGAGTTTTGTCTTTGAGTCTTGGTTACACCACCTCCCTTAGCTTTGTGAGCCTTTAATTCTGAATCATTGTTCCACCACCACCTCCCCTTACTCCATGAGTCTTGAATTTTGAGTCTTGGCTCCACCACCTCACCTTACTTCATGAGTCTTCAATTTTCATTCTTGGTTCCACCACCTCCCCTTACTTACTTCATGAGGTTTTAAATTTGGGTCTTGGTTCTACCACCTCCCCTTACTTTGTGAGTCTCAAATTTTTTCTTTCTTGGTTCCACCACCTCTTCTTACTCCTTACTGAGTCTTGAATTTTGAGTCTTGGTTACACTACCTCCTCTTACTTAGTGAGTCTTGAATTTTGAGTCCTGGTTCTACCACCTCCCCTTACTTTGTGAGTCCTGAATTTTCTTTCTTGGTTCCACCACCTCTCCTTAATCCTTACTGACTCTTGAATTTTGAGTATTATACTACCTCCTCTTTCTTAGTGAGTCTTGAATTTTGAGTCCTGGTTCTACCATCTTCCTTTACTTCGTGAGTCTTGAATTTTGAATCTTGGTTCCACCACCTCCCCTTACTTCCTGAGTCTTAAATTTTAAGTCTTATCTCCACCACTTCCCCTTACTTCATGAGTCTTGAATTTTGAGTCTTGATTCCACTTCCTCCCCTTAATTTGTGAGCCTTCAATTCTGAATCTTTGTTCCACCACCACCCCTTACTTCATGAGTCTTCAATTTTTATTCTTGGTTCCACCACCTCCCCTTACTTACTTCGTGAGGTTTCAATTTTGGGTCTTGGTTTTACCACCTCCCCTTACTTTGTGAGTGTCAAATTTTCTTTCTTGTTTCCACCACCTCTCCTTACTTCATGAGTCCTGAATTTTGAGTCTTGGTTACACCACTTCCCCTTACTTTGTGAGTCTTGAATCTTTAGTCTTGGGTTCCACCACCTCCCTTTAGTTCATGAGTCTAGAAATTTCAGGTCTTATTTCCACTACCTCCCCTCACGTGGCGTGAGTCTTGA